CCATGCCTTTCTGGCCTCTTTGGCTTGTGTACCTTCCTCTGCTTGCCGAAACTCTTTTGCCTCTTAAACTATATATCCTTTCAAATTTGTTGTAGTTTTCTCAGGCTGTTAATCCTGAACTCCCACATAGCACTCTGTTAAAACTTACATTGAAGAATCTATGGCATTGAATTGTAATGCCACAAGTGTATAGAGGTAGATGCCTCACACACACTCTTATTCAACTCCTAGACAATCAGCTGTGGGGAGAGACGTCATGTCTTAGTCATCTTTTTACCTAAGGGCCTGGCACATTTATTTACATCTTTGCATTATAAATGTATTGACATTTTCTGTGATTTTGAATGGAGGGAGTTTACTAAAGTTAAGATTGAGCAAATGAAAGTCCCACTCTCCAGCCTGTCACACATGGTCTTTACATCTGAGTCTGTTCTTTCCTGTCCTTGCCTATCCCCCAGCTTTCTAACAATTTCTCTCTCTCTCTCTGTCACACACACACACACACACACACACACATACAATCTGAGTCTGTTCTTTCCTGTCCTTGCCTATCCCCCAGCTTTCTAACTCCACAGTCTCTCTCTCTCTCTCACTGTCCCCCAGCTTTCTAACGCCACAGTTTCATACACACACATGAAACTGTTTAAACTGATAGCCCTTTTCCAGACCATGGACTAGACCCTATGTGCCTTTTCTTCATCCATGATTAATAAATAACCCTCCTTCAAACAATTTAGAAAATCCTATCTTCTTCATGAAGACTTCATTTTCCTTCTTATTATTTCCACTGATAATCTCAAAACATATCATTGTCCACTTGCTTTTCCATTGTACAACACTGACTTTACCAATATTAGAACTTCATTACTGACCTACTCACTACAGGTTGAAAGTTTACATACTGCAAGTTCATTCTGGTGATCTGTAAATCCACTGTTGGTCCACAATCTATAGATATAATTATTTGTAAAAGATACTGAGACTCTGCTATACTTGGTCAGGATTAATGATATGTGTGCTTTTAACTATCCATATTTTATGCTTTGTCAGCTCATAAAGCAGTGATTCTTAATGTTTTGACCGGTGTGGTGAAAACTTCCTTGGAAAGTGTCTCCCCTGCTGCTTTCCTGATCCATAGTCAGATGCTTTACCACGGAGCTCTACCCCCTGCTTTCCTTATCTGAATATAAAAACGGAGTTTTGCTCATGTCTTCTTTTCTGTACTATTTTGACTCGCAGCAGGAAACAGATTTCAAAGTCCAGCCTGCAGGCTTCTTGTGAGAACTATGACCCTAGAGAACAGCCTACATATGTTTCACTTGGTAATTCAGAACACAGAGCCAAGGACAGATAGTGCTTCTTAAGTTACTGATGGACACCGAGAGCTTGTGCGGCCCACTGACCCAGGCTCACCTGCTGTCTCCTCCAGCTGCAGGCACCTTTAGCTGCACCATGAAGTTCACTGTCCGGGACTGCGACCCTGACACGGGGGTTCCCGCTGAGGAGGGGTATGATGACGAGTATGTGGTGAGTCTCCCCTGCACAGAGGGACTCACTGTGACCCCTTGCTCCACCGAGTGACTTCTGTCCAGAAAGAACATTTTTCTAGGAACATCTGACATGAACTTATGGGATTGTTTTCTTCTCAAACACATTACAGCTGAGGAGGACCTGGGTTAATCTCCTGTCATGGGAGTGCCTCATGCCGAAGAGAATTGGGATTTACCACTCCATAACTGGTTAATGCAAAACTCACCCTTTCTAATGTCTTTGTAATAGGGATAATTCAGAGATGCAAATAATTACATGATCCTCATTGAGATCAGTTTTATTTAAAGTATTGAGAATTGGGATTTTTTTTGTTTTGTTCAGCAACTTTTAATTTGCTTATAATATAGCCACACCATGGACGGCAAAGGCTTCAAAGAATTCAGGGAAAGTTTTATTATGGAAAAATTCTACCTGTTAGAGAATGCAGAGTTCAGAAGGCCACATACAGCCTAAACTCTGTGGTGATATGTGGAACGTGACTGCTCTGTACCTACCCCAGGGCTACAGATGCTGATCTGAATACAGGTCTTGCCAAACAACCTGGTTTTTTGCTTTCCTTTGTCAGGGCCTATGCTATTTGACTTATGCCCTATGCTGTTTGACTTATCCAGACTACAGAACTTCAAACTAGTCTGAAGTTGTAGTTTAGTTTGGTAGTTCTTCCTAGGCTCCTGCAAAGGATATATCACAGGATGATAAAACCAAATGAACTAGTCTCTTCCATGTTTGTTCTGAACTGAGAGGATATTCATTTTCTGACCCCTGCTTGTTAACCTACTAGCTAGAAGATCTTGAAGTGACTGTGTCTGACCACATTCAGAAGGTAATGAAGCCTAACTTTGCTGCTGCCTGGGAGGAGGTAGGCGACACCTTTGAGAAAGAGGAGACCTTTGCCCTCAGTTCTACCAAAACTCTTGAAGGTGAGAACAATTTTCCTTAATAGTGTATTGCCTGATAACAGTCTAACACCTAGTAGGCACATTTGTTATTCCAGAAGGACTCCCTTTTCTTCAAATACTTCAACTGTTTCACTTAAAAGGCCAGAACCCTGTCTTCATCATCTAACTGAGTCAGCCCACTTCCAGTCCAGTCACCTCCCAGCACACACCACCACCAGTCCCCACCTCTCCCGTACCCCCACCCAAACTAGTGCAGAGGCAAACCCCTACGCTGACCTTTTCTGATACTGTGGCATCCATCTTCTCAACACAGAAGCTGTCAACAACATCATCACATTTCTGGGCATGCAGCCATGTGAGAGGTCAGACAAAGTACCTGAGAACAAGAATTCCCATTCCCTCTATCTGGCAGGTAAGAAAGCTTCATCAGATTTCTCCTTTATTTTGTTGCAGAATTTGATAGGAAGGGATGTGCATGGGCATCTCATGCCCTGCTACTGTCCCACTGTTATCAAAGTTACAGCTTAAAGCCCCATCAAACTGAATAATCTGTTTTAGCTGTTTAATTTGCATGCTATTCTTAGGTGGTTCTCTTAAGATGCATATTTGGCCCAAAGCACTTAAATCTCTCCTATAGCTACCAATGCCCCCACCTTAAGTACTTCATATCAGTATTATTGAATACCTTCCATGTACCTGGTATTATGAGAATATAAAAGAGTATTTAGAATTTGTATGTAGGATTCAGTTCCCACCATAGGCACAAATCTCTAGAAAAGCTAAACTAAAATAATAGAAAGGAAATGCAGGCAGAGCATGAAAAGTTTCATTATTCAGAGCTTGTTTTGAGTTCTTAACATGGTTTCCTCACTTGTTTTCCTCTCAGGTGTATACAGAGGTGGCTATGATTTATTGGTGAGGTCCAGGCTGGCCTTAGCAGATGGGGTGACCATGCAGGTGACTGTCAGAAGCAAAGAGGGAACACCTGTAGATGTTATCTTGGCTTCTGTTGGATAAGGTTTTACTGGGCGAGTTGAAATTGATGTACCCTTCACTGTCGGTGGGCTTTCAGGCTATTGGCATGAATTTCCCAGAATCATACTTTTAAAAATTAATGACTTCCAAAAAGCAAATTAAATATTTGGCCCTGAGCCAGCAGATCAAGCAAACGTCTGTCCTTGTGCATGTCTTTCTGTTGTTGTTCCTTTTTAATACACTTGGTCAGCTTTGGTATTAGTACAGCTTTTGATGAGCTTGAAAATCAAATACTATCCTATACCCCAGCTGCTTAACTTCATTGAATTCTTTAATGTGTATCTGAAAGCTCCTGGCAATGTTGGAAAGCTTTTATCCCAGAGGGGTGGTGGGGGAGGGGGAGCCAGAGTCCACTTTTGTCAAAATTCATTTTTATTAATAGAAAATAAACACTTATTCCAGTTGTTATACTTGAAGTTGCTAATAAAAAATATATATAAATCACCACTTAATAATCCTGCTTTAACTACTAAGACAATGAAACTGCGGTTTAAAAAAAAAGTATTCAGCACCGTTTGCTCATAGGCCTTTCAGACTTTGTTCTTTAAGTTTCTGGAACATTCCTGTCTGTAAAGTCCAGGAACTGCTGAGCTACACAAGGAACCCTCTCTGGGACAACCAATGAGAAGTTAAGCAGTCAGTATACATTCAGCCCGGTGACTTGGACTGTACAACGCTCCCCTCCTCTCCACTAGCTCAGGAGGGACATGCTTCTACACACTGAGGTATGAAGAGTCTGACTGTTATTAGCTGGAAGGATCAGTTCTAACAGCAAAATAACAGTACATCTCTGGCACAGAGGCTACTGTCTTTAATGTCCCGTGATTTTAGGAAATTCTGTAAATAGCTTGGATTTAGTTCAGTTTACTCAAATGAAATGTTTAAGGTCTGCTAGAGTGTCTGCTGGTTTAGTATCTTTATATATATAATAAGTATAGGGAAATCATAGTCTTGAAGTATACTTAGAATACTGTGTTATTTAAACCAAGGTCTAACAGAATGTCTACAACTAGAAGCTGCTAATGAAACTAAATCCAAAGTTATGACAAGGGAAACTCATTCTCATTTGAAGCTGTGTCACTTAAGAGAACTCAAAGCCATTCAAGGCAAGGTGAAGGCAGCACCTTTAGATAATTCCAAACAGGGCCAGAAATCAGCATTTCCAAATACTTCAGAAAAGTCCACAGAAGTGTTTCAAAGACTTTTATGCAAAAGAATATCTATCTTCCTGCATCAGTGAGTGGTAGTGCCCATCATCAGTTCCTATGTAACACAAAGACAAAGGCAAGTCCATACACTTGATCAGATGTCAAAGGAATGGGAGGTGGACCGTCAGGTCACCTTACAGCTTCTGCTGGCTTTTTACTATGTGCTGTTCACCAGTGTGAGTCAGGTGGACTTTAGTGAGAGAATAGTGTCTGGTGGCCAGGACCTCTTTTGGGCATTTCTTCCTAAGTGGATTACACAACAGATAAGGAATAGGGGAGGTAATACAGGGGAGCTACTCTTTCCAGCTCAGAAGGAGTTGATGAAGCCCATATATGCATTCAAGAAGCCCATGGGATCCTCTAGCTGTGGATAGTGGCTAATGTGGTCATCCAGAATCGACACTGTGGACCGCGGCAGCGTTTTCCTAGTGGAAGAGAACAGCATGGAGGTGAACTTGAGGCTGGAGGGAGGGACAGGGGTGTAAGCCAGTGGGCAGCCCTAGTAAATGCCCCTGCGGACATACCACACTGGAAAGAACCAACAAAGAGCTTATTCACCTTCTACTTTAGAATTGTATCTTTAGGCAGATAAACATGCCAATTCCATTTATAATGTATACAGACTAGTTTTTAAATATTCCAACAGGCCACCATGTGAAAATACAACACACATGCAACACAGGTCAGAGCAGGATGACTTCCAACTCCTTAGGGAAGTGGCCACTCAGCAACTCACTGTCCGAGTAAAGACAAAAGACCTTGCTTGCCCTGAGGAGATGAGAGGGTAGTCTGCTTAAAGTTAAATGCAAGCTGTTTACTACTGGGTTGTTTCTACTAGGCCATGTGAAGGTATGGAACATTTTTATGTGACATTGTCAGTCAAGCACTCATATTCCGACACCTTCCGACTAAGTACCTAGACAGAAGAACAACCTGAGAAGGCACTTTTCCATAGCTCATTCTTCCCGCAGAGTCTCCTCAGCTGAGGCCAATGAGTTGGCTTTACAATCAAACTTAAAGCAAACATTTAAAATATATCCACTTCCATTCCTTGGTTCACACAATAGCTTTTTCCTTACCTGTACACCTTGGAACATGTAGAGTGATACATGTTGACTGATAACCATGATAGTGAAAAACAGACTGTATAAACCAAGAGAATGTATAACTGAATTTCTTGATCTTTACATTATGTGAGAGTTAAGATTTCCCCAGTTCATCCTCTATTAAGTGTTTTCTAGATGAATAATATAGCCAGTGAGGTCAGAGACAGGCCAGAGCAACAGCCCTCAACAGGCAGTCCTGGTCACCACTATCAGGAAAACAAAGACCCCTGAGGGAGACTCACCTGTACAGCTCCAAAAACTCGGGATAGGGGTTCACCGGATCCAGTGGCCCATAGATAAAATGAACTAGGAGAGGGGAGAGGAATGAATTATTAACAGCTCTCACACCATAAAATTACCCCTCAAAAATTTTTTCTTTAAATGATTTTTTAATAATAGAAAACCTAGCTTCTTCCAATAAGTAGTTTACAAGGAACATATGAGAATAAGCCTAAAAATTAGTCCATTTGAGACCTTTTCACCTAAAACACCCATTCAATCTCTTCATCTCTTCTTTGCCCTGGACCAAAAGGAATAAGCCCCACTTCCAACATTTCCACTTTATAAATCCAGGAGACTGTCATTCTTTTAAGTCTCTCTTCACTTATAATTGACCCTTGACATTTGAAATCAACCAATGATATCTTGAGCACTAATTATTCTATGTGAGACCATGCACTGTTTTTAAATCCATATCAATGAAAAGACAAATGAGCAGAAACCACCTATAAGCCTCTAGATTAGTAATCTAAACAATCTGTCATCCCAGCAATCCAGCACTGAATGTGGCAACTACCGACAATGCACAGCACAGAAAGTGGTCTCATCACACTCCTCATGGACACCAACGCCTTCTGCAGTAGGAACTCAAATGTTTTATATACTTCTCTACAACACACATCACTGGCTGCCAGATTAAATAAGGGTGGCCAGTTATATCTGAACTTCAAATAATAATTTTTTCTTACTATGTCTCAAAGACTGCACAGCATATACTTATCCTAAATACATATCTGTTGTTTATCTGAAATTTATTTTCAAATTTAGCTGGGTATCTTGATTTGCTAGGTCTGGCAATTACTTAAGCCCATGGTCCCTCAGTTTTCCTGCCAGGAAGTAACACAGAAATACTCACTGGGAATAGATACAGAGGCAAGGGCTCCCACCCAGCGTCTCCTAAACTTCTTCCTCTGATTGATGTACTGCAAGAGACTGTGGGACAGACAAGTTGGCAAGAGTAAAACAAGAAACTTCTATTGTTATATGGATGCAAAGGCCTGACAGGAACCACAAGGAACACAATCTATGTTTTCTTAATCCAGAACCACCTTGCCATTCCTGGGAATGACCCACTTAACTTACTCATTTCTCTTAACCTCTAGAGTTCACTACTATGTAGCTATGGCAGTGATCATACCTACTATCAATGTTAGAATTAATGGTTCTCTGTGTTTATGAAGCAGGAACAGATCTAGGAAGGCTGGAAATGACTTTGGATTAAAAGTGACTAAAGTCTTAGTCTAAAGTTCTGATTTTGGCTCCACCACTAACTAGCTCTGTGACTCAAAAGTTGTTGGTAACCTTTCACCTCAGTTTTCTCATCTTTAAGAGGACTCAACTACATAATCTGTAAATTGACATCTACTTCTAAAATTCTCAGTGTAAAAGTCCATGAGCACAAAGCTTCATCTCCTGCATTATCCACAGATAAAATGGAGGAGGAGCCCTTTCCCTCCAGTGTAAGATGTCAGAACTCAAACTCATGTGCTCTAAAAACTGTGCCTGGCATTGTTTTTGTGAACTTAAAACTTCACCTTGTAGAAATATTTACTTTCTTGAAATATTTACTTTCTTTAAAATACAAGAGGTCTTTGTTTTCCAATTTTTTTTATATTAAAATGAATGTTCAAGGATCCCAGGTGAGTTTGAGGTGAGGAGGAGGAATGACTCCTTCAACCTCACAATTCCAAACGAGAGCTACACTGGAAGCTACACTGACCCAGTTGGCAAAGAGGCCGTATCCCAAGCAGTTGTGGATATCCTATCTCAAGGTCCCTCTGTGAAAGCAGCTACATTCTCATTTGAACCAAAGGATGGGAATTCTTTGTACAAGACAGAGAATCCTCCCTTCTCAGTCCCTGTTGCTATAGAAAGGATACAAAAAAGTAAGAAATCTGTACTTTGAGAGAGGCATTAGGCACCTTTCAGAATTATGATTATACATTTTGAAGCACTTACTATTGACAAAAGGTTCAAAGACAATTTACCAGTCAGTTGGCTGGTTACAAACTGAATTAGCACTAGAATTTGCAGCTGTTTATCCAAACCTTTTGTCCCAAATGGCTTAGGCTCAGTGGTAACTATTCTCAATTTCTTTCTTCTTAGAAAGTACAGAGCAGGACTTCTTGGTTTGCCTTGTACGTCATAAGCACTCTTCTTGAAGTTATGAAAGCAAAGAACAGAACACAATCCCACATCTTTTCCCTACTTCCCCAAAAAAGTGTCTCTGGAAACCAAAACAAGGGTTATTTCTTACCTGTCGATAACCAAGTTCCCGTCATTGTTGCGTATCCCTGCCCACATGTCCCACAGCTCACTCTCAGAAGGTCGGGTGTATGGCCCAAAGACGGGGGTGAGACTGAGTAAGTCCAAAAAAAGAAGAAAGGTTGAGTGTGAGAAGAGCTCAGTACATCATGATTGGCACTTCAGGTCACATATGTCCAACCCTTGACTTGCTTTTATGAGTTCCTCCTACTACTTGCCTGGCAAGTGGTCAACACCTTTAAAGTATCAAACCCTAAGATCTGGCCCAGAGCTTTAATGCAGAAACTTTTCACTACACTGTTCCCAGGCTGAAGTAAGTCCATCTTTAACACTAACTTACCCTCGAGAGAATACGAAGAAGTTCATCAACCGTGTGAGGATGGGTGACAGCATGCCTCCATCTTTGAGAAGCTATAGGTATAAAGTGAAACTCAGGATTGCAAAGAAAGAAGACAGCTAGCCAGGATAAAACATTTTATACTAGGAACACAAAAGGACTTTAACTAAATCCACCAGCTTTCAGTTTCTTGATTTGCTTACCCACATTCTTTTCTCATAGATGACAAACCTACTTCTAATTTCCTTTAAGATTATATTCTACACTGATATATTTGACTTTAGGATCCCAAATTTGCTCAAACATCATGCTAATGTCTTTAGATAGCTGTATTTCTCCAAAAATAGTTATTGATCTCATTTTCAGAAATAAAGCTTTGTTTATCTAGGGTTACTTCTACTGCTTTGCTTTTCCTTTTTTAAGGAAAAAATTAACTTCATTAACATATAAGTTCAGCAAGAAATAGATTTTTTAACCACAGCCTGTGGCAGCAGGTTTGGGCCCTTATAAAGGTCCCAGCATTACTTAGATCAGTATAAATTTGAAAAACTATTAAAGAGCTGGTCGATGGAGTAACCAACCTTTTGTAGAAGGAGAGGACGGTGAGTCTCAGGAAATATACCTGTAGGAGAAGAGACTTAAGTTAGTCGTTTACCAACAATTTTAGGCCAAACACAGACTCAGAGGTTAGTCACCCTATTAGTCACCTTAGTGGCTTTTACTGCCAAAAACAGAATTACAAAAAACTTAGTACTGTCGTTTACTAATTCTCCAGGGAACTGTGTTTACCAGGTCAGATTCTATCCCACTGGGATTACTTTCCCCACTGCAGAGAAAAGGGAAGAGTATGCCTCAGTCATCCACACTGGCGATGACTAGACCTGCTCCCTTCAGCAATTCCACCCATTCCTTGGGATGCATAGCGTTGTTACTGTTTCAGGCTGCAAGGAAACCAGAGATTTTTCAGGAAGTGTAGGTCCTTAAACCTAGTTTTTCCATTTCCATTTTTTTGTCCCAGAGTCCATGGGAGAAAGCTATGAGCATGACTGATAAAAAGACAGATTCTTCTCCCCATCTGCCCTTAAGGTAGTGGGGGGACACCTGGATATATTCATGGATTTACAAGCCAGGTTCAATGGCAGGCAAAGAATAGGAAACAACTCCAAAAGGTCTAATTATGGGTTCTCAAACTCCCAACTGAAACTTGGCACTACTGTGAACTGAGAGTTTCTGACACAAACCACGACAGTGGCACGAGTGGCTGCATCGCCACTGTCTGCAGAATCCACTGCAGTTGTCGCAGAGATGGTGAGGCATCATCTGCACTCCCCACTGCTTCTAATCAGAGCTGTTACCAGACCCACCATGAGATCTTGCTGGACTATGCATTAAACACATTTAAAAATCTTACTATACCCTATCTTATGGTAACACACCTTTTTATTAACTTATATCAAGATAATCAGTCTCCTTTGTAATCTTATTTTCTATATTCAAAAACATTATTCTGAGAAAGGGTCAGGAAATCTCTTCAGACTACGAAAGTGATCATGGCACAGGAGAGGTAAAGATCCACTCCTCTCTGTGGGTCTGTTTGCAGTACCATCAGACAACCATTTAGATGTCACTGCCGTTTCTAAACATGGCCCTTCTAGGCTACACCTGCTTCCCACCCTCCTCCATGCAATTACCTCCATTTGACAGACACAGACTCTTGATTGTAAGCCGACCAGATCGATTCTGCTTGAATCTAGAGGGGAAGGAAACACACAGCTAACTGAGCCAGTGAAGACGAACTCCCAAGAGGGAAAAGGGCCAGAAAGAATGTACTTCTACCATCTTAGATGAGTGAGACCTGTAGGAAAGTCACGGCCTCACTGACCTGTAGAGCAGCTCCTGAGCCACCGTGTCCCCGTAGTCGTGAGACAACAGGTTGATCCTGCGGCTCTGGAGCCCCAGATGTCGCAGAAGGGCCTCCACAATGCTGGCCTGCTCGAATATGGAATAGTGATGCGGCCTCTAGGGAGAGGAGAGCCCAGACACACAGGATGAGGTCTGTCTGCCAGGCCAATCCCTCCATCCTCACCTACCCCCACCCCTCAACGCTGTACCATCTAGATGCTGCTTACCGGTTTGTCACTGAAGCCAAAGCCTAGGAAATCAAGGGCAATCACTCGATGAAACCTGAGGGTCAGACCTTCCCAAATCTACAAGAGAGAAAAGGATGGTTTGGTCCTTCTAATCCTACTCCTCGTCTCCAACCTACAGGAACAAAAGAGTTTCATCCCTATCTCAGCTTAACAAACAGCCTTTGATAAAAGGAAAGTCTCGTGAAACCACCACAGGCCCACAAATGATCCTCTCGGAAAGTGCTTTATTCCTAACAATTAATCTCCATTGAGGGAGGAACTCGAGCACTTTTTAACTTGGCAATGATCCCTCCCAGACTGCCAAAGACTTTTTTTTTCACTCCCTTACAGTAAATGAGAAACTGTTCTACATTTAATCCTATTTTATTAAGCAACTCAGATATGTAAAAGCCTTCTGCTGTTGCAAGAAAATCCTTGATTTTGGATTTTAAAGGCATAGTAGGACCTAGAAGTCTGATTTTATTACCTTGTACCAATCATAGCTGGATGTTGGAAAGCCATGTAAAAGCACAACTATCTCTGGACTTCCGACCACACCCACAGAGTCTGGGAAGGAGAGAGAGCAGTTAGGCCAACTCTGTAAGAAAATAACTTTGAAAATGTAAAAAAAATCTAATCTGGTATAAAGGTCAAGAAACCCTGACCAAATTAATGACATTAAAATAATAGATTTCTTTCTAAAATGCAAGCTTATTGCTTTAGTAGGTAAGAACAGGCATTTGATATCTATTTTCTTTTATCCAGTATATTTAAAAACTGTAAATACAGCCAATATTTTATAAAAACTTTAAGTGGAACATAGTTTATAAAAATACTGAATCACTAATGTTCTACACTGAAGCTAATTGTAAATCAACTATATTTCAAAATGTAAATAGCTCACTTTATATGAAAATACTTGATGGCAGACTGCTTACTTTCACCTAGGTTTTTAAAGTATTTCCCTATTTCTCCCTTTATTCTGTATTATTGTTATGTAAACTGCTTTTCCACACAGTAAAGTTTCACAGTTATTAAAAGCACACTCACAATTTACAAACTACAAGTTCTGTGTACCTATTAGTCACAAACAGCCTCACAAACATTCCCTGAAATGGAGTAACTCTTCCTCAATTCAGCGAGCTCAGTTTATGCTGTTTGCCCAACACTGATATTTCCCTCATTGGAGACTCAGTCGAATATTAAAAGCGTAACGCTCAACTACTGCAAAATTCTAACAACTGTAAAAAAGGTTAATCAACATAATCATGATCATGTTTTAATGTATAAACATTTTTATATTAGCCAAACATTTAAAGAGTAAGTAGCCTTGCTAATAGTATTAGATTAAAAGTGATAGATTCATATACCACCACTGGCATGAGAATTTGATAATAAGGTTTATAAAAATAATGTGTTAGAAGCAATTAAAAATTTTATATACTTTAGCCTAGAAGTCTTATTCTTGAGAATCCATGCAAATAAGTCATTTCATTTACAAGTAGCACTGTTTGAAAAAAAGGAAAAAATTAACACATACATGAAGATTTCCCCTCAACATTAACTATTTAAAGCCCTGAAAAACTGAAAACAATGTAAGTAACCAACATAAAGAAAATTATGTACTTACTTTTTATTGAATACAACAAATGAGAGGAGGTCAGGAGCAATAATGAAAAACGGTTTATGACAAACATTTTTCGTTATTGCTCTTGACCCCCGCCCAAAAGTAATCTTTTCCGATCTCGTTTTTCATTTTCTCTACCTATAAAATGAGAAGAACAGCACCTCCCTCCAAGTACTGTTGTAAAAATTAAATGAAATAATGAAGGTTGAAAACATAATTCAATGTCTAGCATAAGGTTATTAGCAGTCAATGAGTAGCAGTCATGACAATAATTATTAGCAAGTTAATTTATACAAAGGTATAATATTTAAATCACATTCAGTTATGCATATAAGAAATAATCTTTATAGAAAAATAAATTCCCGGATGGGGGAGGAACAGAACCACTGTTAGCTGTGTCTATGAATGCTGTTTATATTACCTGACACTAGGGGCGCTCACAAGAGAAAGCCAGTGCTGTCCATCAATGCAAATCAGACCACAAAGTAAATGCACAAGTCAGTCTGCAGACTGGAATCTCAATTCCACCACCCTTTCTCCCTCCCAGCAGTTTTCTGTGAGCTTCCCTGCTGTCAAGGTAACAAAAGAAATTAGTCCATTCCTCTAAATGAACACTGCACAGAAAAAAATAGGGTTTTTGCCTCCATCGCGGAGGGGCGACAGAGACCAGTGGACGCAAAATAACTCCCTCGGTGGGACGCGTGGGACCTTTTACATGCAGTGTTCCAAAAAGCCCTGTTCTTACCTTGGTAGAAGATGCGCAGTCCCTTGTAGGTGAAAAATTTGCCTGACGACTTCCATGAGTGGAGAGCAGGGGAAAGCTGCGGGGGCGGGATGTGCAGATAGGCTGCAAGCAGGGGCACCACCAACAGCCCCACCTGGACCCACCACTCCCGCATCCTGTAGGAAAATCAGAAACCTGGTGTAAGCAGTCAGGTGACACTGTGCACGACTCTGCAAGCCCCAAACTGGTAAAGTAGGGTCGGGAATTTCTGCGCCATGTGGTGACTACCTTGTCCCCCATGGCAACCATGGCAGAAAATTTACCAAGAAAAGTGCTCTCTGCCTCCTACGGCCATTGCCATATTTGGTCGTCGTTCTAATTTTCAGGGAAAAATAGATTATTTTCATACCTAACCTTCCCCCTCAACTTCTCCCCACTTTAACTCTGCAGCCCCTCCCCTTGTGCTGTAGGGGTTTTTATATAAAGCAAAAGGAAGACAAGTTACTTAAGTAACTACATTGGCTTTTATCAAGGCATTCCTGGAGGGATAGGGGTCTTTCCCTCATATTTACTCTAAAAGCTCTACCACCTACCCACTGGCTCCCCACCAGTAAAATGTTTTACATATATATTTTTTTAATTCATTAAAAAAAATACATAGTGACATCACATGTCCTTAAGCAGAGAGCTGCTCTTGATTTTCTAATATTTATCAACCCTCTGACTCCAGTGAAGCCCAGTTTGATACTACTATATAGATTTGTGCTGAGAAACTGCTAGGGGTAAAGAGTGTGAAAATAAGAAGATAGATGCTTTGTACATTCCAACATAAGCAGCTTTGTCATGACCCTGAATATCTAATCTCTTGAGGCAGTGGAGCAGCAGATTTTATTTCTGCTTTTCTTAGCAGACTTTTAAGGAAGTACCCTTATTTACTTAATTTCTTAGCATGCCCCTTACTCCCCATCTACCCCCACACCCAAAAGGAGGCAGAGAATCTGAGAACTGATTTTGTTTTGGGGAGAAAGGCAGTGATTTACACACCCAACTTTCCCATGCCCAGGACTTTGAAGGTCCAGGTCAGTTTATCCACAATGACAAGTGCTAAACAGGAATTAGAAACAGTTCCCTCGGTTTCTAGCTTATGACTCCTGAGGGTCACCAAGGAAAGAATTATCAGTAGAATGGATATTCTCTTAAAAATAGCCAGGATGGAAATACCTCCTAAAACTAAGAATTACCAAGAACACAGAACTATAAATAAGGGGAATTAATTGTGAAAGCCCTGGTGGAAATGGCTTTGTCTGGACACACACCCTTCTAACATATTACCTGTAATCTGGTCACAATCCCTAACAAACTAATATTTATTTAGAGTTTTTTTTTTTTTAATAAACTCTGTGGTTTTATGTCCACAGAGAATCTCAGCTCCTTTGCCTGTTTTAAGGCATACCAAGGCAGTCTTTTTTTTTTTTGCCCCTCTGAAGTATATGTCCATAAAATAGTCAGTGACTTGGTTGTATCTTTTAAGGTAGAAAGATGAAGAAATGATTAGAAAAAGTGCCCTGAACATGATCATTATATCGCAATATTCACCCCATAACAGTAGTAGACTGCATCCCATTAACTCCTTAAAAGGTGAGGTGACAAAAGGTATTATTAGGTTTAGGTTATCATTTCTCCGTGCTACCTGTCCTGGACTTCAGCTCACACATTTTCACCTGCGCATTTCATCCTTCCTGATCTCCCCATACTTCTCATTCATTTACAGGTTCCAGCAGCCGTGTGTCTGCAGTGACTCAGCAGAGTCAGGGAAGGGATACTAGAGGAGAGGAGCAGGAGGCGGCTCCCCCTCCATTCTTGGGGTTAGAGTGAGGGGGGGCAGTGGTAGCCGAAGGAATGAAAAGACACCACCATCCGCCACCTCTTCCTTCTCATTAAGAAAGCAAAGAGGCAACCCCTCACGAAGCCATAAATTTAATTACTTCAGTAAAAATGCCCCTAATAATATTTTAGGATTGCTAGTATGAAAGCAATCAGGCAGTCAGTAGGTAAAATGGATTAAACATTTTTGACTAAAATCTCCATTATTTGATGAGCCAAAAATTAAGAATATAAATTCAGCAAATGCCAGTAACAAACCTTCCAGAAATTAAGGAACATTTACGAACCTTTATTTATCTTGTAAATAGGAAAAATACACACATTTAATACTATGAAACCTGCCCACTTTACAGCATCGCAGTGAGACTATGAACTACTTTGTGCATGTGTATGTGTGCTAAGTCGCTCAGTCATGTCCGACTCTTTGCGACCCCATATACTGTAGCCCACCAGTCTCCTCTGTTCATGGAATTTTTCAAGCAAGAATACTGGAGTGGGGATCTTTCCTCCTCCAGGGGATCTTTCCAACCCAAGGGTGGAACCTGCGTCTCTTGCGTCTCCTGCATCAAATGGAGGATTCTTTACCACTGCGCCATTTAGGAAGCCCACTATTTTGTAAACCAGTGCAAATAATTCATGTGTAATATTATGACAGTTTGGTCACATCATTCTCACTTGGCTTCCTGTTACTTAAATCTAAACAATACTTACGCCTTGGTGATAACACACTGCCAGTTCTAGTCACACCTATGCGGTAACTCATGCCACAGCGACCGCAGGGTCTTCAAACCCTAAATCACGGCAAGGCAACACCGGGGTCTTAAAATTCTAAATCGCGCCAAGATGATGCAGGGGTCTAGAAACCCTAAATCGCGCCAAGGTGATACCAGGGTCTAAAAATCTTAAGTCGCGTCGAAGTGAAACCCAGGTCTAGAATCACTCAATCACACCAAGCGGGTACTGGGGTCTAAAAATCGTCAATTGTGCAGGGGTGACGCCAGGATCTAAAAATCTTCAATCGCACCATGGCAATGCCGGGGTCTAAAAATTCTCAATCATGTCAGGGTGATACTGAGGTCTAAAAATTCTAAATTACATCAGAGTAGTACTAGGGTCTAAAAATCTTGACCCTGAGGCATACCAAGGTCTAGAAACCCTAAATCTCACAGGGCGACGCCCAGGGTCCAGAAATTCTAAATTTCATCAGAGCAATACCGGGGTCTAGAAATCCTAATTCAGGAAGCTCCAGCGTTCTTCTGAACGGTCTACGGCATACCGGCGAGACATCTCCTCCCAAGCAGGTAGAGCGGGCTCAGAGGACAAGAACGCATGCCCCCCGACCTCCCGAGATTTTCCCCTCCACTGCAGGAGTCGCAGTCCGGTAGCCCCAGCTCTGACCAGCAACGTCTTACCCGCTAGCCCGCACCCCATTTGTGGACAGAGGCTCCAAGCCAAGCACACACTGCCACCTCCACCCCACCCCCGGCGCCCGCCACGCACCCACCTGCGGAGGCGATCTCGGCGCACCATGGTGGTGTCTTAGCCCATGCCGCCTGCACACCGGCCCAGAGCAAACGGCGCGCTGCAGCGCCCGCAGCCGTGCAGGGCTGGCCGGCGGCGGGGCGCAGCCCACGGCCCAGGAGGGCGGCGCGGCCGCGGCAGGCAGCCACCGGGGTGGGCGCTGCGGCAATGCGTGAAGGCGCGGTTGCCGCAGAGGAGGCGCCACCCGCCGGGATGCACCAGGAGGTGCTCGTGGCCGCGGCAGCGCCGAGCGAGTGGGCACCGACTTTTAGAGCCCACCCGCGCCCCGCCCCTGGCCCGCCCACCGCGCCGCAGTGCCCCTCCCGCTGAAGCCACCACCCCTCCCCGCAGCCCTGCTGCTGGCACGAGGAGGGGGCGCCCCTCCTAGAGCAGCTCCTGGAGGAGGGGGGCACGTTCAGGGATGTTGACCCCACCAGCACCCCACTGCTCCCTCACGGCCCCCTACCCTGAACCACAGGTTCTAAAAAAAAAAAAACAACAACAACCCTCCTCTGGCGAATTAACAATGCAGGTAGAGACCACAAATTCCTGAAACCCCCTACACCTTCCCCAGACCACCCATAAGCCCCCAGCCCCAAACGTGGCCGCTCGACCTCAGATGCAGTGAGACCCAGGGCTACGGGCTGCTGCTTTTGCCTGGCGATCCTCGCGGAGGTGGGGGTGGGGGGGTGGGGGGGACAGTGAACCTAACGGCACAAGCGCCCGCGGCAAAGCAGCGGTCCGTGAGCTCCACCACCACCTAGGTCCCTAAATGTGGGGATCTAAGCCGAGCTGGGCCTACCTCTGAGGTAATCGGCGGATTCGTGGGAATGCCGATTAGAAGCAAAAGAAAAAAGGGCGGGCGGGTAGGAGGCGGGCGGCAAAACTTGCGGAAAACCCAGGCTCTCTTTCGCGCGCGGCCACGGCAGCGGGCTTGTCCTCTGCGGCAGCGCGATGTGGTCCGCACGCCCGAGCCCTGCCGCAGCCCTCCCGCGGCACCCACTCCCAGCACTGGCGCGACCCGAGCCAGGAGGGGTGATCGGCACAGGAGATGAGACTAAAGCGCCCTTTATTTGTGTAAGACTGAACCACAATGCGAGGGTCCCAGTGATACCGAAAAGAGGGAAGGATCCCCTCCCCCCTCCTTCATCCATAATCCTTTAAAAGGCATTTACCTTTGAAGAGAAAAATGTAGAGAATCAGAGTGTGTTCCGTTTTCTGGCTGTAAATGGAAATCCTGACAAACGTGCGGGCTGCGGTGCCGGCTCCCTCCAGCGGGGGCGCTGCAGGCCTCCCTTCCACTCGCGCCCACCGCGGCCGCTCCGCTGCCCAGAGAGCGGGCGAGCTAGAGTTCCGACATCCCGGGCTTGAAAGGCCCGGCCAGCCGAGACCACCGGGCGCCTCACGGGGTGCCAGGGAGCTGAGGGGCGCCAGTCGGACACAGGAGAAACCGCCGTCTGTGAACACTGTCACCAAAAACGTGCGGCGCGGTCCAGGGTACACCTCTACTGATGTTGCCTCAGAGGTTCCTGAAGCAGTGCTAATGGAGCACCTCCAGAATGCTAAGAGGTAGCGGTGCAAAGGCCAAGGAGAAATGGCCCCGGGCACCCCCCCCCCCGAAAGCAAGATGCTGACCATCTGGTAGGGATGACACCCAAGAAATGACAACGGCTTAAAATTTCCCTTTAATTTCCTGGCAACGTTTTGTGACAGGTTGGTCCCCTCCTCTCAACACACATGCCCCTCAAAGGCCGAGCCCAAGTATTATTCACCTTTTGTATCCCCAAGAGCCCGCCAAGGCACTGGCCACAAAGCAGGCCCCTAATAAATACTGCATGAATAAGTGCACGAATCTGAGAGCACACAGGGGAGGAAGTAATTAAGGGGAGGGGGGAAAGGGTTGTGTCGAAGGATGAATAGACATTTACCAGAGACAAAGGACATTCGAACCAGAGGGGACGGCATTCGAGAAGCACCCGAGGTGCAGGACCGCTTGACCTTTGGGGAAAATTGCAAACCCTTTGGGCTACGACGCTGAGAGGCAAAAAAATTAGGCTAGGAGTATTTCGTCCTAAGGAGTTTACAATTTGTCCTAAAGAATATGAGGAGCCACCGCTGGATTTAAACCCTTTACGGCCTTAATTGGTTACTTAATGAAATTTCAATTACTCCCCTTAACAAGCGGAGGATTACCTATTTTAACGAACCGCCACCTTTTAAGGACGGAATTAATTACTGAGCAAAATTTAAATCAGTCCTTTCAACAAAATAAAGACTTTTCCTATTTTAACTAAGAGAACAATATAAAACAAACTTGGCATTATAGTTTCTCATAGTTACTGTCAATGGAATCTACGAGTCCTACAAACAATTCCCTACTTTTATTCCCACCACACCAGAAGCACCAGCATCCAAGATGAAGGTAATTTTGTATTTAATGGACTGCGTGTTCACAAAGGATCTTACTCTGAAAGCCAAGGAACATGTCCACCCACATGGAACGAGTGGACAGACAGGAGGGGAGCCCGCTGGGGTGGGGGAAGGGCAGGGACCAAGGGAAGTGCTTAAAGACACGTGAAATTCTGATGCTCTCCACAAACCCTCCCAGACACAGGGCTAGGAAAACCTTCCTTGGACAAGTAGGTTGAGAAGGACTTCAAATTCCTAACTCGTTTAGGCGAAGGAAGCATTCCTGTTTGGAAGAACCTCCCAACACAGGCAAGGAGTCTGAAAAATGCAGAGGATACCAGGAGAGATCAGCTTGGCTAAAGCTAGGAGAAAATGCTAGAGAATGCCCCAGGAGCCAAACAGTTAATGAGTTTTCTAACTGTGCTTGACTTACAGAGAGAAGCTTCCTCTACCAGGGGAGAATCTGGCCCAAAGTATAAAACATTTTAAGTGCCTGAGAAAACATGTAACCATACATAAATCCAAAGCCTGCCTCTGGCTGGCTCTCAGTGCACTCTTTCAGTTCTTAGACACAAATACCACACTTGACCTAGATCACAGATAGCAGCATTCCCTCAACCCACAGCTTATCATACATTCTTGTCACATTCCAATTCTCAGACAGTCTCACATAGTAAGACCTCAGATTTGTGCAAAGATGAGGGTAGAAAGTTTGACATTTATTAGCCTGCTGATGTGCAACAGCGGTGCGAGATCAGCAGGGCTGGCACTGTGGGTTCAATAATCATATTTTTTGAACCCCAGTTTGAGACCCCAGTTTATCATTACAATGACAAACACAAGAATATTTATGGAGACAACAGGACAGAACTGGGACTGCTACTTTCAAGAACCATAATTATCCATTCAAATCAACTAAAGAAGTTCAAGATGGGGGAAACCTGGTTGAACAGCAGCACATAAAGAGACTCGTGATTTTAGTTGACAGTGAGTCTGTGATATGTCTCCAAAAAACCCATAGCAGACTGTAGACTGTAATTAGAGAAGCACCCAGAATAAGCTAATCCTGCTCTATTTGCTAGTTAGACCTCACAGAAAGTGTTTTATTTTGTTCTACAGACCAGATATTATTAAGAGAACCATAAACGGGAATTTTTTCAGAGAAGACGGACTAAAATGCATTGCAAATTATGTCACTGAAGGTGTAACAGCTGTCATATTTTAAACTCCTACTATAGCATGAATCCTTACTCAGTTTATCCCTAATTCTCATAATAACTCGCTAGATGAGTATTTTCATCCACATTTTTCAGAGAAAGATACAGCAGCTCGGAGCACTGTTCGTATGTGAAGGACTGTGAACTGAACACAAGATGTGTTCTGGCTCCAAAGCTGGCGTCCTTTCCACTACCCCACACTGCCTCCCTGTTTAAAATAACCGGGCATATTTAGTTGGAAGAAAAGAAGCCTTGTGGAGTGAGTGGAAGAAGGAAATGTGTTAGCAGTGCTCAAATATTTGTGGAAGCAGCATTAGATGTTTAGACGTTTTATTCTGTATGGCTCCAATGAGTGCAAACTGTAGAGAAACAGATGTCGATTCAACATAAAGAATTTTCCAATAGTCAGGGTTGTCTAGAGAGACTGGGTATCTCAGCCATGTGGAGACATGACAAGTTAACCATCTCTAGGGACTGGGCAGTCCCGTGAGAGGTATGCAAGTTCTGGATGAATGCATGAATGACCTTTAAGGTCTTGTCCCATCTGATAGAAACTAAGGCTGAGAGAGGTGCTGGAACTTGGCCAGGGTGACCACCCCCCTCCCTGAAGGGTCAGATCCACAACAAGATCTTTCCTGGGTGTCCCTCAGCCCAGAGTGCTTTGTACAACATGATGCTTCAAGCCGAGGGCAAGACAAATTGAAGAAATTATCCATACAGTCATATCAACCTTCCTCTGAATTCAATTTAACCCATATATCCAAAAAGCCACTGGGGTCTTCCCTTCTTCTTCAGGCTCATTTTTGGGGAGAAGAAAGGGAGCTGAATAACCCATTAACCAGATAAGATGAACCTAAGAGACAGATTACAGTACTACTGAGCACCCCTAAAGTATCTTTACACACCCTGTGCATTACTGGGCACATCCCATAATCCCACATTCAGTCCTGTTTTGCTGTTTCACATCTTGCACACACAGATAAATGAGTTTAAGAAGTTGATGTGAATCCTATCTTGCATTTTTATAGTTCTTTACACTTTCATGTATATTATCTCATCTGATGCTCATCACAGTCCTCTAAACAGCTTTTTTTTCTTTTTTCAGTCAGACAAGCAATTTTCTAGCTGCCTGGGGAAGAAAGGGCTACAGCACACCACTCCCCCGCCCTTTTTTTTAAAACATTCCACAGTAGGTTATTCCTCAAGCCTGGATGAGTCAAACCAGAAGCCGGTGTTTTGCTTTTCCTCGATTGCGATCAACACCTCACACCTTCAGCTGTCCTCCTCCACCAGGCCCTCCAGTGCCCCTACCCCCTCTACTACCGCAGTGCTTTGTCACGAAACTGCACGCCCCCCCCCCACCCCGAACTGGCTGCTCCAACT